ATACCTAGCTGTCCACAAATGTGCATTTTTCTCTCAAAAAACTATAGAGGGCTGGTGTGCATTTGTGCAAGTGCGCTCTGGAGAGAGAGAGAGAGAGAGAGAGAGAGAGAGAGAGAGAGAGAGAGAGAGAGAGAGAGAGAGAGGGCGACAAACATATTTAAAAAATCACGTTTTCGAAAAGCACGTATTGTTCTGACCAGGGAATTTTTTTTCTTAAATATGTCTGATTCAGAAGATGATTATAATTCCGGAGAGGATGGTGATTATGTACCATCAGGTGCGACTTTTTTCACATGATGCAGTATTAAATTAGGCGTGGAAAAAGTGGTCTAGGCCTAGTGCCCAGCTTAATAATTTAGGCCTTGGCTAGGCTAGGGCCTAGGCTAGGCCTAGAGTAGGCTGCCTTAGGTAGGCTATAATAGGGCCTAGGCTCAATACTAGGCCCTCGAAAAGCGACGCTCACGAATAAGCGCCTCACTGAACCCTCCCAAAATTATCGAGCATTTTAGGTAGCCCTGCTAGTAGGCTACAGTAGTCCTTTTGGCGCTAATGCACTTTCGCGCCTAACTTAATAATCTTAATTTTTTTTTTACTTCAGTGTTGCAAAGTGGCAACCGTTCGTCGTGCTAGCGAGCACAGATTCGCTGTACTTAATTGCCGGCTTATTTGTTGAAAAGTACTTTGTGAGTGGTTGAATCATGTGAACATGTTTGTTAATTATATGTTGTGACTGAGAAGAACATTGAGGTAAAAAAATTGAGAATTTGAAAAATTAGGTGCGAAAGCGCATAGCGCCGTCTTTTTTTAAAATTTTATATAGGCCTAGGCCTAGTTCTATAATAATAATTTTGTTTATCAGCAGATGTTGTCTCCTGCATTATCAGATCGGCCTACCTTTTTGTGATTAGTCAGAATCTGTTTTCTTTTGATGTTAAGTTTGTCACCATTTGAGACTATGCCTAGGCCTATTTAGTCTTGAGAGTGTTCTAATAAAGAACAAAACGTAATATCAATATGGCCTCATGTCTCTCATTTTTCGGAGTTACCACACTCATCTAAAAGTAGGAGAATAACCCATAACTTGCAGCGTCATTGTGCTGAATTGCGTATGGGAGTGGTCCGTGACTACCTAGCAGCCGTAAAGAGGTGCTTCTTGGTAGATACATGTTCACATCATTCCACAACGACAGGGGCTGAAATGAACCATAACATCGGGGTAACCCCCTACTATTCCGAAAGATGCAATGGGTTCTTTAAAGTGCACACGAGCCAGATGTATACACTGGACCTCCATTTTAAGTCCTTATCTGAGAAGACTTGGTTCTACCAACCGAACCATGGGCGAGGAGCGGCTGGAACCAGCGCCGATTTTAAAGGCTGTAGCTAGCGGCGCTCCTGCCTTACCGCTCGGCCACTTGACTCATCTATCAGCATGGGGTCTATTATAATTTTTTTACAGCTCTGAGAAAAAGTGTTTTGTTTTTGTGTTTTTGAAATTGCCACAGATACTGTATAGGCACAGCACAAACAATTTCAAATCCCATATAAACAAAACAATTTTTATATCAAAAACTCAAGGAAAAGTAATCATTTTCTAAAAAACTTGATTTATATGAATAATTTAATATATTTTTTAAGTCGGAATTTTGGTATAGGGTTTGCCAATTAAACTGACCTTTTCCTGTTTTGCCAATGATTGATTTAATTAATGAATTGATGTTAATTCCTTTGTTTCTTCATAGATGTCAGTGAAAATTGTACAGACACTATTTTTAGGAACAGTGATGATCAATCAAAATGTTGAATCATTTTGACTGTATTAACCCCATCAAATTAGCCAAGAACTTACCCCTTTCCCCGTAGTGTGTTATTTAACATGGATAGGCCTAATCTGTAGTACTAGTAGTGATACCAAAAATCGAAGACAAAGTTGCTTTTGTGTACATTTTCAGCCAAGTTCAAAACTTCAATGGATGACTGGCTCTAAGGGGATGCGACACGGAGGGATGGTGCTGGGGGTGTGGCAGGTAAAGCAAGTGGGGTAGGGGGTAATGGGCGGGTAAATAGTATATATTAAGTAATACAGTATCTCTATGAAAAGCTGATAATTAATGGAATTGCACTGTAGTATACATAAATTTAGATAAGAAAATGTAACAGGATTTGTGTTGAAAACATTCTGTGAACTACAAAAAAATATATATATACTTGGACTCAACCTAAATTGTAATTATAAATTCTGTCACTTGTAAGCAGACACTTTCAATGAGTAACTGATTTATTAAATAAATGATATAATCAAAAAAATTACCTGAAAAAAAAGGGGAAAAAAATTGAAATGGACAATGTAAATAATAATAAAAGCACTTTTGGTCACATGGGGTTATTTGTCACATGACTTAAAAACACAGATCGGCCAATCAGTGGGTCAGTCCATGACGTCATTATGTTTTGCTTTCTGGTATATATTTTTTAAGTTACATAATCTGCTCAAATCTTTGATAAAAATACATCATCATCACATAAAAACTACATAAATGAATAGTTCAAAACTTAAAATCATGTGTTTTGAACATTTCAACACATATTTATTCTTTTAGAATAGGAAAACTGCCCATTGAATTATCGCTTTCGGCCCGGGAGATCGTGTAAGCAGACCCTACCACAGGCCTAGCGCTAGGCAGCACATAACTGTCATCCTTGCGGTTGACAAAAATAATATTGCTGTTTCTCCAATAACAATCATATTTGGTAAATATACATTAATACATATAAAAAACAATTAAAATAATGTTGAATTCTTCTTATGATTGTTAAAAAAAAAGTGACTTTTATTCTATATTTTCAAAACGATGGTACACATGCAAAATATTTCAAGACAGGAATTTTTATGGTACCTGACCCAGCAGTGATCTTAAAACGACATTTATGACCTGTAAATACTGGGATTAACCAATCAGAATTATTTTTCAAAAATTTAATTCTAGACCTTTGTAATTAAGCATGGCCAACTTCCAGGTTCAAAACTAATTAACTTAATTTTAGCGTGTGACGTCACGGATTGTGTCGTGCCTATACTGTATTGTCCGAACACTGGAATGCAACCTGCCTACCTGACTATTGCACATACACAATGAACATTAAGTAACATATTTTCTCAGAGTGCTGGCTAGCCCGTACCCAAACCAACCTGTACCTATGTAAACCTGTACCCACTTTGGCGAACCCGCATCCAAATTTTGGCGGGCCCATACCCATCTTTTTTTAACCCGTACCCACGTCATTTTGGCGAACTCGTAACTTCTGGTCAATGATATAATAATGAATGTTTAAATACTGTATTTATTTTTTATATCGCTGGTAAATAAATTGCAGTACGTATATGTATTATATTTTTTTTATACAAATTATTATTAATAATTGAAGTCGGACATGTGTGATTGAATTTGAAACCAAAAATGATGCATACATGAAGTAATTAAACTTTGTATGTTGTAGAAATGATTAATTTATTCATAGTCTAAGGGAAAGTAATTTATATTTTTATGTTAAAGAATTTACTTACAATAATAAAATCACAATAAATAAATCAAACATTTCATTTTTTTTTTAATAAAAAGGATTTATTTTAATATTCATGGTAGTCCTTTGCTACATGTCTATCTTTTAAGTGTTTGACGTTTGAGCTGATGAATATAATTGTGTTCACAGCACTATAAATCCTAGACCACAGTTGTCTCAGATATAAAGGTATTACCATTTCCATTATAATGTTTGATATTCATTTAATCACTGCAGTGTAAAACATGAACAAATAATGTAAACAACAACCCCTGCATAAGAGGAATTCTAAACCACTCCAAGGCAGATCAAAGCATTATGCATGCCTCTGGCTGCAGCACTCAGAGCATTTAGTACATAGGCGGAGCCATAATATATAACGCACTCAAAATTGCATGTTTCGACATCTTGGCATTTCTCAATTTAATGCATGTTCTATCAAAGGTAGTTTGGCGTTCATATAAAGTTTAATATGATTACTATCTAATTAGGCAGTGTAATTTGCATAATGTTCATATAGAAAATAATATCTTTCATCAAATTTGGGTACAGGTTAGCCTACGCTGGGCACGGATTAGCCAAAGATGGGTATGGTTTTGTTTGTTACTGCTGTATGTTGTAATTAACAAAAATGTATATTTAAAATCAATTCATTAAACACACTTTTTTGTAAAGCTTAAATTTTAAGTAACTATGTATAGTTCAACAAAACTGCCAACTGCGAAACGTTTTGCTTTTTTAGGCGAAGATGAGAGTGAAGATGATTATGATGAGAAAGATGGCAAAAATGCAACATTCCTACCTTGTTGGATTGATGGTAGTGCACAAGACGATGAAGAAAGTAGTGAAAAGAGAAAAAAGAGAAAGAAAACAAACAGAGATTCTCCTTCAAAAAGGTTTTCCACTTTTTAAATTTTGTTTTACGTCACAATAAATATTAATTATATAAAATATTCTCATGTATACCATGTTTCTAAATGTTCTTGATTGTATGTAGCTCAGTAAAAATTGCATTTTGCTAGAAGGTGTGAGTCACGGGTTGATTTCTTTAACATTTTTCCTTGTTTGCAAAAACTATGAGTGGACTCACTTACCTGAATCCCTAATGCAGTTTAAATAGTGAAAGAAGTTCCTTCTGCTTTCTTTTTGTCTCTTGGTTTTTCTTCTTCATTTGTTTTAGGATGTTTGTTTAATTTTTTTTCTTTCAAAACCGTAAGTCTAGATACTTTCTGTAATTTTCATGTTGCAGTTTATCAGTTAAATTCATCTGTTGATTTCAATTTACATATTTTGTATTTTAGAAAGAGAGAAGGAGGAATTAAGTTGGATGATGTTGAAGAACATGGTGAGGAAGAAGTAAAAAAAGAATTAACAACTGTAGATAATTTAACAGATGAGTTGGCATCTATTAAAGAAAAAAAACTGGAAGAAAAAAAGAAAGAAAGAGCAGATGATCTGTGGAATAGTTTTTTGAAAGATGTTGGACAGCCAGTAAAGAGCAATGTTGTAAGTTTTCAATAATAAGCAAATAGTATAGTTATATATCATACACTAGTAGAATATATTATACCAAAGTTAGATTAATATTCAAGTTGTTTTGGCCATTTACACACAAACTGAGGAAAGTTCAAAAAAGGGAAAATTAGTGCATGGTTTGGATAGGAAAATAACATTGGGATTTAATGTGAAGACGTTATGATTGACCTATATATAGCTTTGACTTCACTACATATGCATTTGCTAAAGATACTAATTTACTTTACCTACCACTACTACCAAGTAAAACTAATAAACTTTGTATAATTAATAAGTTGATCAGCTTTTAGCTTTAAACTAAAAATATGGAGAATAATTATCCTTATTATGTAGGTTTCTTTGGCAACTGTGTCTTGACACAAACAACTTCAATGGAACTTTTCGCTAAGCCATGCCCCTTGGATGTTGTTGCAAAGGTTTCACAAAACAGTAGCGTAAATTTGTGCATTTGTGTTTGTTTGTAGAACATGCACATATTCCCTTGGCCCTTTCTAATTGGTCATTTACTAAGTTTGATTGACACTTTATTATTGCTAAATAAATGTCAATACTTCTGCCTTGGTTAAGAGGTCTTTTGTTACAAAATAATCAGTAATGGTTGTCAAGTTTTTAGGCATGTCTGTTTTGAACCAAGTCCCAGATCTCCGCTGTTGTGTGGGAAAACTGTTAATAATCTAATACTGTAGATGACAATATCAGTTGTTTTAAATGTAGGTAAAAACCACCGCTTCAGCATCAAATGCTACTGCATCTAATGATGATGTGCCAAAGAAAACAGAACCAGCAACTGATGTCAAAGAAAAGAAAAATACAGTTACTGTCACACAAATATTTGATTTTGCTGGTGAAAAAGTAGAGTAAGTTGAATTTTATTCAGTATTTGTACAGTATTTTATACTGTTTAATATCCTTTCATGTTAATTGGTAATATTTGTCCTATGGAAACAACAACTATTGTATCAGCATCTTAAGATATTAAAACGTTTGAAGACTGGATATCAGAATACTCAGTACATTCCAAATATTTGCGAAAAATGATAATGTATACTTTTATTGCACTTCATGCTTAAGAACCTCACATTATTACCCCCTGCATTGTATCAAATACATACTCAGCTCCCTGGAAAGAATCTCATAATGTTGCAGCCAGCTTTTGGCTCATTTTGTGATTGAACCTACCAGGTACCCAGTTGTATTCCTGGGTGAAAAGAGATAATTAGTAAGAAAAGTGCCTTGCCCAAGTACACAAGAAAAATACACAGCAGGGATTAAAAATCCAACCTCAAAAAGGTTGAGTGAAAAGCAGATGCAACTACTGTGATAAACTATTCCTACAATTATTCCCCTTATGCTTATATTATTTTTCTTTCAGAGTGAAAAAAGAGGTTGATGCTAATTCAAAGGAGGCTAAAAAGAGTTTGAAAGAAATAACAAGTGAAAAAACATTTGATAAACCAACCACATCAAGTAGCTTAGGGTAAGGTTATTTCACTTTCTTGGGAGTAGAAATGGATTGCAGCTTACCTCAACACCTTCTGGAAGATCATCTCAGTCTCAGTCGAGAAATACGGGTAGCTGAAGTTTTTCTCGAAAATCTGACTACGAAACCAAATCGAAATTCACGTTCCACTTCTGACTTTTGAGCTGCTTCACACATGCCGCTGAGGGTAGCATTCCGGGAACCCTGCATCTAGGCTAATTAATTGGGGTAGCCTGGGCCTAACCTGACGATTTTCGCCTCCCCGGTTCACGATCTAGAATTTTTTAGGAGCAGATTGATGACCAGTGTATAGGCTGCACCTTAAATTTCATGGTGGAAATCGCGTATAAAATTTGCGGCTTTATACCCCGGAATATATTGTAGCTTTAGTTGCAAAATTCGATAGATTTTGATAATATGGACAAAGTTTCAAAATACAATTGTTTTCATTAATTTTTGTTTAAGTTGCCTGGTAAATCAAGAAGCGCGGTTAGTTGCTCTCCTGAAAGCTTTTCCAGGAGCACGGAGGAGTGCGACTGCTCTCGCTCTCCTTAAAAATGATAGACTGCTGTATCATGGCATGTAGTAACTGGCATTAAATCACCTAAATTACTGTATAAACAAAGCATGTTTTTAATTTATTTTGTTTCTTTGAAATTCATGTACTGTGCTATTTTGAAATTGGACTTTTCAAGGCTACTTTTGCAAACTAAAGAAGAGGCTTATACTCAAGGTTTTATGGTATATACAGTGTTTTCTGATGGCTAATGCTGCTCTTTTGCCCCACATTTTTCTTGATTAATTGATGTACCATAGTACAACATGATCTACTAAGAGAAGATATGCTGAAGTGTTTACAGGTGAAAACAGAAAGAGCAAAAATATGTGGATAATGTTCAAAGTCATGGGTGTTGTAGTTGATGGGGATGACGACAGTTGCTTGTAAAATTGATATTTAAATGCATCCCAAATCCTTTCTTTTTGTTTTTGTTACAGAATAAAGAGACCACAGGGAGGTCTGGGGAGCATCCTCAACAAGATAAGCAAGAAACCTAAAATAGGCACCCTTGTAAGTGTCGGAAATATAATTTTGCAGCACTTTAATATTTTTAGCAAATACAAAATATGTACAAGATTTATAGGAGCCCATGTATATACAGTAATTGTTTTGTTTCTATAAGGAGGTGCACTAATACTATGTATACATCCATGGCTTATGACATTTAAAGAATGTTTTCTTTTACAAATCATTTAATTTTCTGAGTATCAATGCCTAGATCACAATGGGCAATGTGTGACCAAGCAGAAAGTGAATTGCAGCCCATAAAAATAAATTAGAACCCCTATATGTGCAGCCCACCAACCATCTTTGACAAGATCCAATTCTGTTACCGATCATGCCAATCATCTGTAGAAATTAATAAAAAACTGAGCATAAAGTGGTGTAAAACAGTGTATGAACGTTTTTGCAAGGACATAGAAAAAAATGAATTTTCACCATAAGTTTGCTTGCGACCCTCAGTAAAAATTCAGTTTGGCCCTCAGATCCATTCTCATGGCCACCCCCTGGCATAGATGTTTATGAATGTAGGACTTGTTCGTGCTTAATGAGCCATTGAAGTTACAGGATGGTTTAAATACTATTGAGGCTTATGAAGGATATATATATATATATATATATAAAACGTGTCAGGTATCGTAACCATCTTATTACTTATCTTGAATATCGTTCTAACAATTCGGCTCCTAAAGGACTACAATTTCATGTCAGGTCTGGTATTCCATTCGCAGATCGTGACTTCCATTCCCGCTGGAATGGCGTCCTTAACAAAAATGCATGTCGATTAAATGAGGTCCTAATTGGCAATTGCCGCAAACTCCTCAAAGACATCGACAACCAAATTCACTTTAGGACTAGAAGGCTAAAAAGAGACCTTCCTATATCTGAGTTTCAAAATAAACTCAAGATTATTGCCAAGGATTGCCTTAAGCTTCCCAAGGAACTTTCCCTGAGGAGACAACACAAATTTGGTCGAGACAATATCACTTCAACACAAGTGATCCAACCTTCGCACAATG